AATGCAATTTCAGTTAAAGTTAATGAACTTTTTAATCAATATTCCATGGATTTGCAAATAAAAATGTGGAATTAAATGTTGGCAGATTCACAAAAAGATGGTGAGTTGTTGGTATCTGTACAAGAGTACAATGAGATACAACTTCAACTATTCATCCAAACCCAATATTATTTCTATACAATGCTTAAATTTTCTTGCTCAGAAATGTGCATTGTTTATACAAGAGTAATTGACTTCATATTAACAATAATTATCCGTTGTAATTATTTCTCCATGGTATGTAATGATAGGGGCCAGGGGGTAAAGTCTTACTGGGAGGTTGAGTTCACACATTTAATAAGCTGAAAAGTGATCTGGATATTATAATTTATCTGTGCTTCTTTGAAACCGAATAAGGAATTAATGTTTCCTGAGAGAAGAATAATGATTTTTTTTTGTTATTCTTTCCAAAATTAAAACAATACATCCAACTTCTTAATTGAATAAAATAAGAATAATTGTATTGCTTATTGTAATGAAGCTATTCCCTATTGAATACTATGAGGTCTTGTTTTAATTTATTATGTCATTTATCATGTATTAAATACATTTCAGTAAAAAGCTAGCCTATTGAAATCAGAATATAATATGCAATAAAAATGGGATTTCCATTTCAAATTATTAAGTTCCTTGTCCCTCAGACAGTCAGGCTAGTGGTAGCATAGGTATATTTCCTTCTCAAAAATATAAACTTAATATTTCACACAGTTCCTACAATACAAATTTCTTACATTTTCAATTTTATTTATTTAAAAAAATTAATAAAAAGCTCAGCTATTGGGACCCTCTTAGCATCCTTAGGTATCTCTGCACCTCTAAACTTACTTTTTTAAATTTCTTTTGTTAATGAGCAGTAAAAACTAAGAGACATACACGGGAGATGTACAAATTTAACCCTAAATAGTTGAATGGTGAATAAACATACTAACAAAGCGAGGTTTAGGGTTGCCATGTCTGCTTCCAAAATATTGCAGACAAGCAGGGGGATAGTAAAAAAAAACAATTACTATTAAATTATATATTTTCTTACAAATTCCATATCCTTATTCTGTTAGACCGTATAGCTTTAGTGTACATACCATTTCATGATGAAGCCTTTGAATTTAAAAAATCTCTATTTTATGAATAAATAACGTGAAAAAGGTGAACTGTCTGCTCACGTAGTGGTCACCTGGCAACCATAGCAAGGTTAGTAACATAGAAAATGGACATTTTCGCTTGAGTTGAGTTGTCAGTGTTTATAAGAAAGTAGTAATCTGTACCCCCGGTTCTATTTCGAACACAACTAGCAAAAAGAGAGCTCAACTACATGTGCTCATAGTGATGCTACATTTTTTAAAGAACTATCATTAGAATTCCTATGGTAAATCACAGAATACAATGCTGTAACTTGTAGTAATTTTATATATGATCTAGAATAATAATTTTTTGTTATAGTATTTGACTTTACTACAAAAGAATATTAACGGACTTCTTCAAAAAACCATACAGTCCGAAATCACTTCTTTTCCTGGATCTGCAGGTAAAACAGAAAAACAATCTCATGGATAAGAACTTATATTCATTCATTTAGATAAATTTGGTTTTTTAAGGCCACTATATGGCAACAGCTGAAAATCTAGATGATTGACATAGTATTTTGAAAAATTGCTGTTTTGGACGAAGTGCATTTCCACAGGATATCCTCCATAATATTTTCTTTTTGGCCCACATTCAGAAAAATTTTGTCATGCCTTGAAAATTATATTGTGAAACAAATCAGAGGCATTCTTTTTTCTTGGAAATGTGTGTGTAAAGTAGGCAGCGTAAATAAAAAGATTAGATTAGAGTTCCAAATTAATGTTCTCACTAAATGGCAGAAATAAAACGTAAAACTAGAGTTGAATAAAACTAAATTTTCCTGTTTGCAACATAAAGCATCAGCTTGAAATCAGTCTGAAATCCCATCTACAATAAGTAGCTTTCTAGAGGTGAACAAAATTCTTATATTCAAAATAAATTTAAAAAAAAATAAAATTACTACAGCTCTCTTTCTAGATTTATCAAATGACTGTTACAGTGTGTTGCATGAACTTCTAATGAATCTTGAAACCATTGGTATATGAGGAAAAATCATAAGTTCAACATACGTTTTGGGGTATACAAAGAGATCAGAACTTGTCAATCAACCAACATACAGAACACTTGTGCAACAAATTGAACACACTCATATTTTTACTACGGTATTTCTCTAAATATTTATCATCAAATGTGTTTCTCACACTATACTATTGAATAATTTACTCCCATCTTCAAAATGGAGCAATACCTCACAGACTAGTATAATTAGATTACCAATTGTCCAAAAGAAGTCTGATATGCATCTGCAATTTATAGCCTCACAAAATATGGGGCACTTAAAATTAAATTTTAACAGTAGTTATCCCGTGCCCTAACAAAGGTCTCACATTTCCACTTGCTATTAAGAGTCAGTTTCACATACAAAGTAATGAAATACACGACTGTTCTACTTGTTTTATAAGTTCAACTTGATTATATTGCTGAACTACAGTACAGAGTACACACTAGTAAATAGGAATGAATGATACATCTTTCAATGCAGCCATGCTATTTAACAAACTTCTATATCACATATTGATTGCTTGTGACAGAACATTCAAAAAGTGAATTAAAAAATATTTTCAAGAGAAATGCTCCTATAGCCTTGCTGGATTATAACAGCTTTTTTTACAGTATACCATTACTGAGATTTTAATATTTAAACTCAAAAAAATGTATGTATTTTTTAATGTTTGGTACATTACACAAAGAATTTTATATTCCCGTTTTATCTCTGTTTTTAAAAATTAAATACATAACTGAGTTTAATAATTTACTATGTAAACTTGTGTATTACCATAATTTAATATGTAACCCGTGTATTAGGATTATAAAAGTGTATTGCAATTGGCTAAGTATCACACAAAATCCTCCACATGTATAAAACTGAAGCTCTAATGTGGCTAACATTGCCCTCTTGCCAGGAAATTTACATGGAACTTTAAAAGATCACTTCTTTTACATCGAAGTAGTTTTACTGCACTAGAGTCTTCAAATAAACATAGTAAAACTGTAAGACAATATATGATATATTGCTGAGATAAAATAGTTTGGAATACTGAAAATTTTTTGGGTACCAGAGACAGTAACAATGTATGTAAAATTGAGAATGTATGTTTATGCCTGTGCGTACGATGGAAAATCTAATAACTATATAAGCAAAGATTCACCAAATTATGCATTTTAAATTATCCAAAAACCCGAGATAAAAATCAATATATTTTTAGAGATACTGCTAATGTAAATACCAAGTTTGTAATCGGCGGATCATACATCCTAATACATAGGCACTCTTATACATGAAGTGCAACTAAAATATTGGTGCTACTGAAAAAAAATTTCCCGTAAGTTTTTGTACCAAATAATTGGATGATCACTTGCTAAGTCAAGTAGAAAATGTCATGTTATAAAAAGGTGTAGACAAGATTTTATTTCAGTCTACAGATGAAATATATAATCCAAAAGAATGTTAAAGTTATTGGAGTTATTCTGTGGTTTTGCTTGGGGAAGAGCATACCCACACACTTCTGTACAAATAGGTACAGTATGAATGTTGGTTAGCTGTTAGTGATTCTGAGTATATCAACTGTTAGGTCAAGAGTAGTGCATTTTTCTCCCTTGGAAGGAGGCGGTGAACTTCCCCCACTGGATGGCGAGATCTGGCACTGACCTAGCAGGGTTTTCCCCAATCAGAGATCTCCCACCAGTGGGGCACAGGTCCAGTCGGGACAATATCCCGACCAGTCTCTCGGCATGTGTGGTAGTGTAGCACATGTTAGTGTGTGTGTAACTAATGAGTGAAGATAGTGCAAGGAAGAGGAACGAAAGATCGCGCAAGGTCCATGGCACATTTGTTATGGTACTGTGCTAGCATTCGCCTAATATTGATCAGAGAAACCACGAAAAAGTATCGACCACTAGAATTCTCCTCCAGGCAGCAACTGAATTTGATCTATGGCTGACAAGCTAGTGTCAAAACTCCTGTCACCATCAAGACTTGAACCTAGGACCTGAGAATTGATGAACTTCATACCACCAGTAATTAATGTAATAAGAATTACTTCAAGGTGGAATTTAAATTAAAGGCAACTCACAAAAACACCTAAATGCTACTACTACCAATTTTCATATATGTTAAAAACTTGTATCAGTAGTTAAATTTATATTGAACATTTGGAATATTGCAGTAAGTCCAATTTAGTTCCTAATCATATGAATTATGAACTAAATTGCTTTAAAAATCAATACTTTGTTGTTGTAGAATCAAATATTTCATAACAACAAATGTACATCTTTAACCAGTTTTAAACGGATCACAAATAAGTTATTACACGTTTTAGTAGTATTATGTTTCTCTTAATGTGTCTTAAATTCTATAAAATATTCACAACAACAATAGAATTGTGAGGTAGAAAGCAAGTCATTCACATTATAAAAATATATATAGCAATTGCTCACTCCATGCAATTTGTATTTTTCTTATATAATTACTTCTGGACTTGCTTCAACGATTGAGAATTATAAATAAAATGTATACAACTTATCTCCTATGTCTGATCTCCAAAAATAAATTCCTTTAAATATTCATTTTTTATTACATTCATAAAATAGACACAAATAGTTAACACATGTTGCTGCTGGCCCATCTGCTATTCACAGAATAACGGCACATAATCATTCTATTTTAACCACCGGTTGGTTTGCTTTCCATGCAAAATATATATTCCATAAAACAGCGACTGTTTGTGTAACTAATACTTGATAATTAACAGGCACGAAAGAAAAATTAACAATCATCACAGCAGGCCAAATCTGAAAAAAATCAAGACAGTTTTTGATTAATTTCAAAATTTGATTACAATAAAATATGAACACTAATACTTGAAAAATATCTCTATTCATGAAAATACAAGTGACTAACTTTATAATTTGTAATAAGAATGTCTTTGTAGTCCTGTTTTAATTTTTCCTTGATAGCCTCGGGTTTCTCTCCATTTATTCCCATCAATAATGTCAATATAGATGCAATAAATGCAGGAGCAAATATACCTTGATCAACTAATACTTTCTTGTATTGTAATTTGCGACCACTAGATGGAAACATTTTGTCAAGTCCTCCGTACCATATTCGCAATGATGGACCCTACGCATTGTGAAACATTACTTGTTTGTTTTATGAATATCATTTTTCAGATATCACCAATTCTTTGGGCAGTCCAGTGGCAGATCCAATGGGGAAAGGGGGCACAGAGGTCATAACTCTCCTCCCATTTTTCTTTTTGTATTTTTAATGAAATTTGTCAAAATAATTACCCTATTTAGATCTCAGCTTATTTATCATATCTATATCAAGCTAACAATTTAAAAAATATTATTTCAAACATTTATGAAGGGTCTGAATTAAAATTGACCTCCCCTTTCTCCCCAAACCCTTGAAACACTTCCTGGATCCACCCCTGGGGCTTTCACAGTAAATTTTAACTTACCACATACACTAACCCCACAAGTGAGTAATTAAATAACCTTTTAACATTAAATTCTTGCAGAGATTTCTTTTCAATGCAAATCTGTGCAATTGTATCTCCAACACCCATTAATAACCCAGACTGAATAGCTTGAGTAGAAACTGGGTAAGTTTTCAACAGTATTTGATATTTTCTTAAAACCGTTCTTAAACTATTCATTGTTATAAGTCAAAAAATCGCTTTCCACTAGGGCTGGTCCACAAAATTCCCGGTTAATTATACTAATGCAGAATTATATTTATACCTTAAAAACACAAACTGATTCACTTAAAACATACCAGATCAGAAATAAAGTATCCAAACCGGTCGAAACTCGTAAGAGCAACTAACTTTGAAATAAAGAAACGGAAACTGATTTATAATATCTGTAACGGAATAATACCTGAAATTCGTTAATATTATTTTTATTAATTGTCACATTCCGGAACACGGAGCGAATTAATTGGCAGTTCGTCACACTTTGACTCGCCGGTACATTTGTTACTACAATGTAGCCAACCCAACCTGAACACAACGTGCGCCAATCTCAACAAACCACACCAACTGGATTGTAATCTCTATAATCATAGTAGAGTAGGGAGCAAAGAGTTCAGATTCTTCCCCTTTCGATTACTGTTATCTACATATATTACTCTCAACTACAATGTATTAAATAATACAAGTAATTTTGGACCCACTTTTTTTTGGCTAATCCTCGTAAGCCGTTTTGTAAGTCAACTTTAGTTATTTCTAATCCTTTTCACGCACAAATATATATTTTTTTATTTGAAAATATGAAATACGCATACGTTATTCACCTGAATTAGGTATCAACTGAATTGAGTGTAACTCACGTCATTGAACTCAAGTATAACAACTTCATTGAATTAGTGTTCATGTTGATATTGTTATCTCAAGAGTTCTCGTATATCTCTTTCAATGATATTGATAATGTTTACTATTTTATAATGACCTTTGGTGACTTCCACATCTTGAGTGGAAAAAACGAAAGACTATTGACCGATTCAGGTACAATGACATTTGACATAATAAAGTGGACGCGGTATAATCGGGAGATTCGTTACTGCTTTAATTTGATATATTGAAGATTACGATTGAATTACCGCGTCACAGCTTGTGATATGACATATCCGTCATAAGCACTGGCGGGTCCAAGGAGGTGAGGCATGCCCCCTTCCCCAAAAAGCCTAGAGATTTCCTTTACCTTCTTTTATTTGGGAAAATTTATGTAAATAATTTATGTTCGAATTATGTAATTATTTAAACAATAATATTGTATAGTATCATGCCTATAGTCCATAAATAATATACAATGGAATAAGAAGTATGTTTATTATTTAACAAAAATCTACGATGGATTCCCCCAAAATGATCGGCTGGATCCTCCCCTGAGTATTTTACTTAAGTGGAAGAAATGTAATATCCTCTTAGTTTTTTAACGCTTTTGTATACCTTGCTTTTGGGACGGCTTTTCCCGGCGCAAAGTCTCATATTCCTACTACAATTTCAGTGAAATCTGTGTCAAGCCTGTCATTGATTTCGAAGAAATATGGCCGCTGCAAATGGCTTTAGTACAGATAGCCAGTCAATGGAAATTATGAGAATATGGGAAACGGACTTTCAGGATAATCGTATTTGCAATTGCGTTAAGAAAGCGTGTGACAACTAATTTTATTTGCACCTGTACTACTGTCTCTGATGTCTTTTTTTACTTTCTCTCATATTATTTACGTGGTATATAATGAAAGAAGCGGCGATGTTTTTGAGAGATAAACTCGTAATATGGAGCCCTGATACAGAAAAAGTGGATAAATCTTGTTCCAGGTATGTAGTAAATTACATAATATTTCTTCTCTGCTCGGCAGATCTTTTGGACAAACGCATTCGAATCATGGTGAAGTTTAATCCCCGTCAGAAGCTGGGCTACCAGATCGTGAATATGCGAAACAAGTACATTTATGTACTATTTAATATGAAAAAGAGTAAAATTCGTTGCTAATGGTGAAAGACAAGTTTTGATTTTAATTTTTATCATTTCTATGTACGTATTTTCAATAAAAATTCATTGTTTATCCTCAGTATTTTCGGTTTTTGATATCGGCTTCTATAATTTTATAAGCGCTGTATAAAATATCTTTAATTTTACTTTACCATTCGAGGGAATTAAGATAACATTTTGATTGATAAAACTTTTCTAAAACATGTTTTATTATTTTTATGTTACAGATTCGGGTTATCATCCAACCTTTATATAATATTTTTTAACAGCGTGAAGCTGAATAAAATTTTATTCTACAAAATGTTTCGCCTGAGAGGTGTTGCCTATTAAGAAAGAAACAAAGCCAGTTTTCCAATACATGGTATAATTTATTACAGAAATTAAACACATTACGATATGCGTAAATAACCCTGACTCTTTTTTTGTATAGTAGTATATCAAGAAGAAAGTGGCTCAATGCAAGACTGTGTTGTTCGTGATTAGGTTGCCCTACCTCCAGATAATCGTAAATGTGTCGTAAAATGTAAATAAAATAAATAATCGTAAGATGTAAATTAACGTCATTTAATGTTCGAGTAATATCAATTCTTTAAAATCATTAATTTGAAATCAAAGAGCGTACTTTCACTCGAAAAAGTAATAAAAGTTTTTTCTGCCGAAAATTCGCCTTTTTCTTCGCAAAGCATTACATAATTTTGTCAAGCTGAAGCGAGAAAGTAAAAGTATCTATCAACAATATTGTAGTTTTGCGTTGCTTAATTTTTTCAATTTTCTAAAATACAAAGGGTTCACCAAAATAGATCCTTAGACATTTTTTCGCTATGGTTTATTCTAGAAACTAAGCCATATAAGCAATCTTGTAAGAGTGTTCATTTAATTAACTCATTCTGTATTTACAGTGCTTCCGTCTTAAACAAATCCATTGCTTACATTTGGTAGCTCCTCCACTATTCTATATTTTTTCTACTATTTGTTTCTTTCTACAAGAATTACTCATGTATGAGAATGCAATATACAACAATAAAATGTTGCCTACAAATTCTGAAGAACATGTTTGTTTAATTTGTAACTTTGAAGACACCTCAAAACATCGTCTGACAAGTCGGCACTATGTTAAATGATTTATCAAAAAATAAAATAAAATAAAATAAAATAAAAAATCCGAAAATGTAGTAATTATAAAAATATTAATTCTATTATCAATTTTTAACATTAGGGAATTTATAACGATACTTATATACTATATACGTATATATACTAATATAATATATATATATGATAGTTTTTTCAAAATTAAAGTTTGATTCGTATATTATAAATACCTTGTAGTTGTTCAGTAAAATTGTTTTTCAGTGTTCCACTCCCAATACTAGTTCATTCAAGGTATCAAAGAAAAGCGAGTGTTGAAACCATGATGGTTTGATCTTCCATCATTTAAGGAAGACTACGTTTTATTCAACGCCATCAAACGTGAATTTGTTATCATGGAAATAACACCATGTTGACATCAAAGGGCTGTGAAAAATTAAAAATATTACTTGACGTGTAAATCACATTTTCATGAAGAGTTCTATGCTGAGTGCCTATGTATATGTTCTTTGCCTGAGTATCAGCGAAATGTTGGGACCCAAAATATTGCTTTTTGAAATGCTTTTCATTTTTTTATTTATTTTAAAAATTACTCTATAACTATATGCTAACATTTCAAGATTACACGTTAAATTACTCCCTATTATTTTGCATTATTCCTGTAGTCGAATCTATATCATTTTGGTTTCAATTAATGCCTGAATTCAAAATGTTTACAGATTCAGAAGTACTTTTAACAAAAAGGTTTTGCATCACCTAAAACTTATATGATGGTTGCAAAACATTCTACCGTTTATCAATCTCTTCAAGCTGAAGCTGTCATGGGGACAAAATATAACATTGCCAGAAATGGTAGTCAAGGAAGAGGGCGTCTACTGGAGGGATTTGTCTATTTATTGTTGCGGGTAGTTTGCAGAGTGATCGGTGTGGAAGCAAAACAAAATCAAATAGTGATGCTTTGTCTCAGATGTACGAGAATTTTTCTCTTACCTTTTTTCACGTCAATCTTTTTTATCGTCTGTATCCGCGTCACTTTTATCTTGGATTGGTTTACCATTTTGTATATTTTCCTTATAAGATAAAAACGAATTCCATGCCACACTTACGAGCTGAACAACCAGGACTTGATATTGTAGAGGTGTGAGGGTAAAATTAAGCATCTGAGCAGCGGGCCATATCTGAAATTTGATGTGCGTTAGTATAACGAAAAAATATGATTCTTACAAAACCCATAATTAATTCACGTTTCGAGAAACCTTGTACGGATGTAAGGAAAAGGCAAGTGATAAAAAAAGAACGTCCAACGCAACTGGACGGAGATTTACAAGTAAGGGTTGACAAATTGCACCGGTGTGGCACTGAATACCTGGACTGTCCTTTAGAGAAGTCATTTAACAGTTAGTTGTCAGTTATTGCCTCAGAGCAATATTAATTATCACTTCTACTAAAACACAGAAAATAATTCATTAAAATGAAATTCAAAATGTTTTCAATTTGCCAATTGAGAGTAAAATATAACATTTTGTCAGCCAACTAAGCAACTTCTTTGACGCCTATCACCTGACCAAGGCCCTTGTTTCGAAAATGAACTTCTGAAGCTTTGGTTCGTAAACCATGCAACTCAAAACTGATAACAGTACAAGACGAGTATATAAGCAATTTGCTTCTCACATGATGCATTTGTTCTGAGGTGTTCCCTGTTAGACTTTATGTAGTTTACGAACGAAAAGTTTACGAATTAATTTCCGTAAAAGGGCCCCAGCGAAAAGAATCTTGATGGCATTAAAAAATAGTTTCTTCGGTGACTAAATTGTTAAATGTTAATTATAATATAAACCGCACGTATATAATATATACTTGTGAATACGAATCGTATGACATCTTGTAATCGTAAGACATCTTGAATAAGAGATTGTCGAATTATCAAACGAGGACATTTCAAACGAGGCCGAATTCGATAACCAATCGAGTATTGCAATAAGATATTATGATACCACTACCGAACATTGTTTTATACACTTTGAAAGAATTGCAATGTACCATCATTTTAATTTGACTATGATCAGACTCATCCTGCAAAGCGTGTGAAACTAATATTGATAGTAGTTAAATAGGACAAATTATTAGAACAGTTGTGACTATAAGATAGGTTGTAATTAGTAGTCCAATGATTATTAAGGCACATTTGTTCTAAAAACTCTTAACGACACTGATCTCAGGTTTATAAAGATTGACTTTAGACAATCAAAAGTGGTTAAATGGATTTAAAACTCCTTAATTTACTCTTGATCATTACAGTTACGAGCCTCAGTTGAACCTTTTGCTTAGAGCCTCAGAGAAACCTTGTTACCCCCTCTGCGTGCCTTTAATACCTGCAAGCACTTCTGTGCAAATTCCGTTACAGAATAGAACTTAGCCACTAAATAATGCAAGAGTGCTAAAGCTATATGACTCTAGATGTATCCTAGGTTTATAGAAATTCTTACTTCTAAAATCTGATGTTGCAATAGAATAATTACCAAATAATTGTTAGCCAGAGTACTTGGATACTTTCTTTCTAGTTCTTCTTTAAATCCATCCAATCCTCTCCCAACAGTTAATTCAAAGTATGACAATAAAACGGCAAGATATACAGGAGCCATCAAGGTTTGATCTGCTACCATTTTAACAAAGCTGCGTTTCAAACGTGGCCAGCAAAAAGGAAGTTTTTTGTCAAGGAAACGATACCATGTTGACAAAACAGGTCCCTGAAAAAATATTTGTTTTCATTTTTTTCTATTTTTGTGAAGAGAAATGCTTGTATCAAAAGTGGCTGGGAATTTGTGATAGTACAGAAGATTTAAATATTGGAATTCTACAATTGTCTGTTAATTCAAACATAGTCTTATTGAATTAAATCACTTAAATAATTCTTGCACAAGTAGCAATGACATTGTAATATACCTAATACCTTTCAGTGTCCGTTGCGAAATTACTTGTACGAATAATGTACGTTTTGAAGAAAATACCGTGAGTCGTTTAGATGCATGGTTCACAGTGAGTTAGTTATACGGACAAACGTATTTTAAACTAGTGGTGCTGCAAGAGTACATACTTTCTGGCTTTATTTGTAACTTTTTGATATTTCGAAAATTCACATTTCAACGAAAATTAAACCTGCGCCATTTTTAAGCGTCATTTGATCTATGAGAGAAAATATAAAAGAAAAATTGGAAGCAATTGTTGCATTTGTATTATGTGTCATTTGTATGCTATCCTTGTGTCGTGTCTGATCGGATAATCGACGACCGAGAGTCGATTTCTCGTTATTAGAATATTCATATTCAATTCTTCGACGTCGAGTCAAGTTTAATGATGTGCGTACTAACCGCAATGAATAGACCAAAACCAGTAAACGCAGCTAGGCGTTTTGTGTCTATGGTCTCCTTCTTTTCTATTAATTTTTGGGCTATCAAATCTCCTGTTCCCATGACAGCTCCGGCTTGTAGAGATTCAAAAATTGTAGGATTTTCTTGCAACCATCTTATAGCTTTCATGTGGGCCATTTTCTTCGTTTTAAAAGTATTTGTAAAACTGTAAACATTTTTTTTAATTAATGAAGGAATAAAAATTAAATATTTGATTTTACACACAGGGAATTGGTAACAACGTGTTGAGAGAAAGAATTGAAAAGTTTAAATACAAGCAATTATTTTGACATTTGATAACGTTAACATTAAATAGAGTACATGATTCACATGACTAGTACCAACCACAAACTCGGAACCAAAAGCAGCAACAGTAACTAGATGTTTAGTTTTCAAAACCTTTCATGTCTATCATTTTCTGGACACCAAAGTATCCTTTTCTTATTGCTTAGGGTTATAGAAATTGTACAATATTTTTCCAACCATGTTGAAGGTTTATAAAATTTATGTCCATTTTTAGGAACAAAAGTGCTCTGAAAACAATCAAATGTGGCGTTTAATTAATGAATAACAATAAGAAAACAATAATATTTTATCTTATTAGTTCAGAGTACTAATTATAACTCAAGAGTAGCATTGCGACAGATGCTGAGAGGTATAATTATAGGTTTTTACTCTAGGAATAAGTACAGTTTTTTAATGCAAGTCGATCCGAGTATCCGAGTAGTGTCGTGACGATCTCGGATCGAAGATTCGAATCCCGCCTCGAACATGGATATAATTGTGATCGCCCCTTCACTCACCATCATTCTACCACTTCATTAAAGAGGAATTAATTATTCCCTGCGCGAGCAGGAGGCCCTTGCCCTTAATGGGAGGTGCAGATGGCTAATAATAAAATGGAAATTGAATCTATTTTATACACAATAGATTGATCCGATCGTGTTTTGCGGACACGTGAAGTGCTATGGTCAGTTGTGTGTGAAGTGTAGTGTTTTACTTCAGATATGGCTGGATGTGTTCCTCCCCCGTTGGAATCCGGTGCCGAACTACACGTCGCCTTTTGGCGATTTTTTTCCTCCACGTTTCTCCTCCAGCGAAACACCGGGGTCTCAGCAGGGTCAATCTTTAAGTCCTCGACTGGCCTCCCGACATGTGTGGCAATGTAGTGCGTGTAAGTGTAAGTGCGTATAAGCAAGGAGAGAGGGTTGGGGAAGGGAAGATCGCGCACGGTCTGAGGCCCGGAGGTCGGACATTTTCCTGTCGCCAGCATCGACAGGGATCTGAGATGAAGAGGTGACGGCAAGCTGGCGCTCCTGATGAACTGATGTCGGCATTCGTCTAGAGATGCACGATGATACACATGATAATTTTATTGCCGAGTCTCGCTGAATACGAAAAACCACATGTATCTACGCTACCTAACGTCGGTAGAAATTCACAGCAATTTCCCTTAAGACTGAAGATACCTAAATGACAGAAGGTGGTTTTCAGACGTTAGGCCGACCGGACGCCCTGGTTCGCTGAGAGCAGGCTGCTATGCCAAAACCGAGAGGTAACCCCGACCCAAGGAAAATACGTGTAGTTTTATGATTACATTTGCTGCTGTTTCTGCATAAATATTGCTGTGAAGTGTATGGAAAATGCTGCCAGGAAGCAGCAAAGTTTGGCTGTTATGAAGAGGCACATGTGAACACTGAAACTTCTTCCTCGTTGCAAGACATTGGCTGTATCGTAAGTACACACTAAGTAAAATTCGTCATTAAGTGAAATATTTTACGAGGGATGTCGCTCGCTCTCAGTCCAGTTTCTGCCCATTGACACCCCGATGCTCGTGCCCTCTGCCCCTGATACATCCCACGGCAGAAGCCCGTAGACCCTGTAGCACTTGTGACATTTTAACAAATCAGACTTCACGCATACTGCAATAGAGTAGTATAGTACAGTGTTATCCAACTGGCGGCCGGCGGACCGCATAACGGCAGCGAAACGTTATTAGTCAAGGTGAAAGTCTCTTTCATCCACATTGGGCGAGAATATTGTGCACCAAGCGCAAGCGCCATGCTGGGGTCAACCCATCCTTTAATATAAAAATAGGTTAAGTTCAGATATAAGGAATTTTTTTAAGTAAATGCAGAAATTCAAAATTATACCAATGTGTTTCACAGTGTTACGAATGCTACGGCCTGATATCAAGCGTGGTTCCATTTCCTCCCTCCCATTTCAGGGCAAAGTGCTGTGAGATCAGCAATAAGAGGAAGCTACGTATGGATCGCCCGCGTAATGAAAATACGGTCTTGCAAGTTGAAGCAAGTTGGACACCCCTGATACAGAATATACAATTACTGTATAATCGTTCTTGACATGCTAGAATATAAAAGAAATTACTGTTCATAATGTGAACAACAATTTCTTTTATACTCTTTGTATGTAAAGAATCATCATTCATCATGAGACACGCCATCAATCAAAATCTCTGAAGATGTGATAACTACACAAATAGTTAAAAGGAAATCTTCAGAGAATTTTGTGTTATTTCATTGTTATTATCCTAAGATTTGAATACATCATTAAATATATTAATACATCGCTTAATTGCGATCTAAAAATCTTCGATATTCACTTTTCAGAGGGATCATATTATGAGGAAACTTTAAATATTATTATTCACTTTTTGTGATTAAAGTGTGAGTAATTCATATAAAGACTGAAGTTAGTTCTTCACTAGTATAAAATAAAGAAATATAATGCTAGTAATATTTTATAAGAAAACATAAATCTTGGGTAGTTTTTCCCCACACTTTTTGTATTACATTCAGCAAATTTAATGTATAGATTATAATTAAATAAGAAAAAAGTATGTTTTCTTGAAATATTAGAAATATCGGATCTATTATGTTTCCACCGGGAGCCTTGTGTTAAATAAAACATTACTCTCTTATCTTGAGCTTACTTATTTCTATTGAATTACATATTGTAGTTCGTGTTTGTTCCTTAATATCACATAATTATCCCAAATGTGGATTTGAAACTGAATAAGAAAAGTTTCTAGAAAAGCATTTCATTTTTATACTCTAAACATGATTTAACTCTCGTATGACATTTACCTTCATCATCTTGCTGTTTTGATCATTTTTAACTGCCAATAATCCTTGGTCGGAAAGGGAAAGAATTTTACATTTTTTATGGCGAAGTTATGTTGTTATTGTTTACAATGGAGGAAACAAATGATGTTCGATATCCCGTCATACTCCGTACTCAAGTAGTTAGAATTTTTGATTTTATTTTTTTCTAAACACCAATTCATTGTAAAAACAGTGCAAAATTCGACATAAGTCGCAACGTTTTGAATATGTTTGAAAAGAGATTTAAAAGGTCACAATTCATGATACAATACTCAACTCAACTTTAATTCTTTTGCTAAATATTTTAGTACATTATAGTTATTAAACTTCTATCTTACATAGGTTGGATAAAAAGTAGTGAGAATATTTCTGTAACTTAAATCCCGTGATTCGGCATGGTGCCATCTGTCGTGACAAAAAGGAAGGATTAAGAGACGAGTATGTGTAGCGAGCGGGAACAGCACTCTGTCAGTTTACTGCAGTGTGTAAATCGTTGAACTTCGTAGCAATAGCGCTCTATTCTCATGTTTACAAATGTAGAGTATCGTTCGTGTCTCAAAATTGAAGTGTCGCGAGGTCGGAGTAAGACAGAATGTGTTCAAGGACTGCGTGAAGCATGTGGTGATGCAGTGTTGGCATATTCACAGTCGCATGATGGGTTAAAGCGTTTAGATTATGCAGAGACGATATGAAGGATAACTTCCAAACTGGACGACCCCACGTCGAGAACTGTGGCGCCACTGGCGATGAGATTCTGAAACATCCTCCTTACTAACTCGATATGAGTCCCGGTGATTATGATCTCTTCTACTACTAAGCGTTGCAGAAATTTCTTGGTGTCAATTTTAGTAACAATAATTTCGAATCATCGAAGAATTTCTAGATTCAATTATCTGCCAGAACCCCATAACTCAATACAAGTTCACGGTGGTTTTACAATTGCCTTAAAAATACTTTGTTTAACAACGAAATTTTTAATATTTGCTTCATTAAATAATAATATTTTCCTAATCTCAAAAACCCACTCGTTGAAACTGCATGCTAAAATTTCACACACTTATAGATCATTTTGTGCTTTTTTGACCGTCAGCTGGAGCGGGTTTTGTACTTGTACCGAGTATTACTTTGAAAGGGGATTTTCTTTAAGTTTCCTCTCGTTTTGTATTGGATTTTGACATGTTTACTGGTCACTTTAATTATCTTAGAAGAAGTGTTTAAATTTTAATCGTATTCTGAGGTACAAAATGGTCATATGCAGACAGTGATAGCCAATGCAGGTTGTTCAATGGTTCAGTGAACCCCATATAATTCCGTGAGATCAGAAAGTTTTATTTCAGCTGTATGAAGAGTTAATTATTATCCGCGCATGTTTTTTTGAGCTCTCGCTTCGCTAGATGCGAGAGAAGTGAGGAGGTTGTTCATTTTGACAAAAGGAATTTCACGGTGAATTTGTAGTTCATTTTTCCATGCAAAGTAGTTTAAATACACGGGGGCGAACATTCTTCGTCACATTTTGTCTACATCTCTCATTGCCATAATTTATTCTTAATGAAACTAATGTTGGGAAAGGAGTGGGGGGTAGATATTCCGGGGCTCAAGAAAACGTGCGGATATAATAGTGTATTTTTTTTCCTTCAGTGGGGATCATCAGCTAAGAATTCTATCAAATATTCAGTTGGCAACGTGAAGATCTGATTGGCCACGTGAAGCCTCCACGAAGCGGTTAAGAGGTTCAGTAAGCTGTAGAAAATCCCCGAGCGGCGTGAAATGAGAGAGAGGTTAGGCGTCAGGAAAAACGGGACGATACGGCGAATGCCCGTGCCCTCGTCCCGTGTGCTCGTCTGTCGATCTGTGTACACTCTCCAAAGACCAACGATGGGCGGCGAATCTCCACAAGGGCTTCTTCTTGGTTGCGAAAGACAGACTCATGGTAAACCCGAGCTTTCTTCTCCGAACGAAAACTCGTGCCAACTAAGTAGCATGTTTCTGTGTTTATAAAACAGTATTTGGGTTGTATTTTCTTCAAAAATTGATATAAAATATATTTAAATAAATAAAGAAATCGGATTTTAATGCATTGAACAAATATCTTATTTATCTATGAAAGTTTCTAATAGTTTACGTCATCGTTGCTTTCAAAAGTTTGCTATTCTGTTTGCTGCGACAAATGTTTAGAAATCTCCTCTCTGGCTTAATTTAATTTTGCCCCATGACGTAAGACAGAATAAACAAGTACGAGTGTTTCTTCTACAATTGGTGAAATATCATCATACTTTTCTCATTCATCCCAGATAGTTTCTGTGTTAAATAAAGCGGTGAGTAAACCAATACGATATGCTTCTGCCACAAGTAAGAATTTTCAATGGAGATCAGTTCTTGCGATTTACGAATTCACATAATCTATACTAGAATGTCTCACAAGAATTCAAGAAAGTAGCATGCAAACAGTTATCAACCAGCCCCACGGGTTACAACTTCAATTGCAGGAGCATTTGAATTGTGATTAATTTTTTTATCGAGTTATGCCTCATGTGGACATTTTGTATAATCAATTACAACGCCATACTAATGACCTTCTTTCTGTAAAACACGGTCTAATATACTTTGAAAATGAAATTACAAAAATGAGAGGGGATGTTGATCAAAGTTCTACAACCCCGAATGTCCCGAAGAAGATGGTCGAGAAAGAGGAGGCGGAAAGACAAACGCACACCTAGGTCCATTGCAGCGAAGGACATGTGTGATGTAATTATGAACTATTGTAAAGAAAGATTTGAATTTTGTAACCACTTGACATTATTTGATAATGTACAATTTCCATCGATCAGAACAAAATTTCCAGATAAATATATTTCAGCACTTATGGAAACATATTCCTTTTTAACAAGCATCAATTGAAAACACAATTACAAGTTATTTACGCGAGGGATGACTGAGAAGCACGCTAGCGTGAATGCTGTTTTTGGATTCTTGATTGAAAATAACCTCGGTAAGTTATTCAGCGGAGCGATTCGGTTACTGATATTAGTTTCTTCAATTCCCATGACAATATCGGAAGCAGAAAGAATTTTCTCAAATCTGAAGCGAATCAATACATTCCTCAGAAGTATGAATGAGTGAAAGAAAGACTGCTCTTGCCATGTTGAATGTTGAAAAGGACATGATAAATGAAATTAGAGACTTCAATGAGAAAGTACAAGCAGCAATACTGTTATGAAAGTACAATAGCAATGATTTATCTGCATCATTTACAGGAGTTTTACTGACAGATATATGCAAGAGCTATTATTTCTTTCCCAAAGTTATTTATTTTAATTGTAAGTATATATTTCTAATTCTTGTGAACCCCATGTTATTAAAAGCAAGCACCGCCACTGAGTACAGCAGAATGTAGAACAGAATCTTTGTTCAGGATCTTGAGATCTCCATCTCGAGATGTGGCTATAAAATTCAGACAAAAACAAATAATGTGAACACTTCGTAGTAATTCTAAGACTTTTTTTAAAGGATGAGACTTTATTTGTAGTAAAATCCGTGAAAACATATCCCGAGAACATTACTTTTCACTTTATTACTTATGTTACATCTCCTTTCAATTTTATTATTCTTCTTTAGGTTTTTCACTTTTATCTTGTGGGTCATTACCAATTTCTCTATTTTTCTCATATGATAAGTATGAATTCCATGCCACACCCACTAACTGAACCACAAGAACTTGATATTGTACGGGTGTCAAAGAAAAATTAAGCACCTGAACCGCAGGCCAGACCTGAAAAATATAAATGATAAAGTACATTGAAGTAAAATCTTAGTAGACATGCTTTAATTATTAATAAGTATATTAAATAATGACCCCACTATGTGGCATTTTTAATCATTCAAGTTATTTTTTCTTCAGTAAAAAAGAGTTAACAGATATTTTATTATCTTCTCTACTAAAAAACAAAAAGTTACATGATTGAATTTTTATTTTTAGGATGATAAAAAAGAGTTAATAATAGTTTTAGATAAAAATATAAGAAATACTCTAAGATCTAATAGACCCCTAACTTTTGTTACAGAATATAATGTTTCACTCCTAATAACCAATTTTCTTTTTCTATTTTTACATTGGCCTGCTTCTGTATAGAAATGAGACGAATACGAATTAAAAATGCCTATGAATAATTTGCAATGTAAACTTTTTCAACAAATTTACTGTTGAACGTCATCAATTGATGCATGGTCTATCTGAAAATATAGATTATACTGTCCCAGAATCAATAAAATTTTTTCACTTTTACTGACAAACTGTAAGCGAATCGGGGCCTGGATGGTGTGGTAGCGTAATCACACGAGTACATGATTTAGACCAGGAGATGGTTCAAACAGGATGCTTTTGATTTGCATATTTAAATGAATATGACACGGCATTTACATTTTCAAGACGGCTAGTAAATATCAGGTCAGAAATACATCCTAAATCGCATATCAAGGTATACGATTAAAACTATAATTTCGAATAGCTGTACATTGAACTCAAAATTAAATTTCTCAAAAAAATCAACAATGCAATATATTTTCAATATTACAAACTATATGATATAGCTCAAGGGCAACATCGTTTGATCAACAGCAGCGGAGACCGAGTCGCCGTAGAATTTGGCCCTTTTCGTTTATTTCGTCAAAATCAACGCAGTAATACTGTATTCGAAGCAATCCCACCATTAGCGCAATTTCGACATTGGCTAGAGAGCTAGTTTGAAATAAACTATTGTCTAGATGAGGATTGTCAAATTTCAGGTAGACTTCTATTCAGCAATGTGCAAGTGTTAGAGAATTGTGACTGACGCTATCCGATTAGTCCCTGTTACTTTAGCGTTCCTATTATTTTCAACTACATATGTTTGAAATTTCATTCAATCGTTCTTTTATCGTTTAAAAATCTTATTTGTAAAACGCTTAACTAACTGAACCCTTCTGATTTCATCGCTTAAAGGGAGATGCAGAATATTACACGGAACCCGAAAACCTAAAAATGTTGATTCATGTCGTTAAGTAATTATTTTCCAAAACTGTTGAAATGAGGGAGATTTACAAATTCTGGAACAATGTAATCACTATTCATTGTGACAACAGAAAATGAAACACGTGAATATAGTTTCTGAAAGTGTAAATGAAATATTTTATGTTTATCACGATGTTGCATCACGGGTATTTATTTCAATAAATATGCTACGGATAGAAAACTGCGGTGTCAGACCCTCGACCCTACACAATGCAGATTTCCCGTGCGAAAAGAATTCAGAGATTCTCGGAAAAACAAAACTATTCGTTGTCAACTGGAGACATGCGGACACGCTTCGTATGGACAAATAAACAAGAGCAAATATTTCATGGTCGCTGCTCTGGGCAATTAATAAACTTAACTGACAATTAATGACGCCGGTGTAAATACAGCTTCACTTAGGAAAAGGGGCTCGCTAAGCCAAGCATAAATACAAACTCGCAACTACCTCTATTTTCATCAAATCAGAGCAAGCGGACACCTGCCAGGTAGAGAGCATAGAGCGAATGGCATGCGTGCTTCACCGTACAACGCAATAGCCTGGGAGACTGATAGGGGAATCAAGGAGGGATCGACACTGCACATATATAATGCGGTGGACTATTGTAGGATATCCTTCTATTCACATGGAATTAAAATCTTAATGCATCATAAACTATAAAAATCGCTGATTCTTTTTACGTAAAGGAACACATATCAGACGTTTGTTGTTTTTTTTTGCAGTTACCAATCAATCCTTCAATATGTAAAAACAGCTATCTTATCTTAAAAACGGTAACCTCATGATACATGGACATTCTAATAACTTATGACGAAACAATGTTTTCGATACATCGCTTGCAACTCTCAAAACAAAACTACACCAATTGCATTGTAAATGATTTTGAAAACGTGTAATGAACAATGACGGTGATAAGCGTTAATTATATAAATTTTAATACATTATCACAATTAAATGTTTCAACTCTAAAACAGTTAATATGGGCAAATGTCAATTTAGTAATTTTTTCAACATTTTTGCCTTACAATACTAAATTCTTTATATGAAACTAAGTGACATTTGTATACCTCTTTTATTATGGATCCCTTGTCTAAAAGTACCATTTTTAATTATTTCTATTACTAATAAAATTAATTGCAAATTCCGATTTTGTTCCAGTTGTGGCTACATTAAAACTGAAAAATTGTGGTCAAATACTCAGTCCAACAATGACAAATCAATATTGTATCTACTGAACCTATTTGAGACCAAACATGTCCAGAAAAGTATCGATTCTTGTAACAAAATAATGTAATTTCAATTTATTTTTTAAATATTAAAAAAAGGCATAAGTTCTATGTTCTACATGTGTGAAATAAGTAAAAAGCCTCCAATTCTTATTTTTTTAAACTATATAAGCACTACATACGCAATCATTGGTGATGATGTTACCCATCTTCAATGTTATCGTTAAAATATAAAAATATTTGTAATGCGTATTTCAGATTCCTTGAGAGCCTTTAGTCCTTAAGCCTTACTTGTGTTTTTAGCATAAATACCTTGAAGCTGTTGATCAAAATGGGTGTGTATTTATTTTTTAATTCTTCTTTTACGCCAGACAAAGTTCCACTTCCATTAGCTAATTCAAGGTATGAAAGACAAACGGCCAGAATTGCTGGAGCCATGAGGATTTGATCTGCGACCATTTTCATAAGACCCCTTTGTATCCGAGGCCAGCAAAACGAAATTTTTGAATCTAGGAAATGATACCATGTTGACGCAATAGGACCCTGAAATAATAAATAGTTAAACAATGATTATAGTTTTTCATGCATCAAGGTCGGTTGATTAATAGCGGCGCCGACCTACTGTCAGCTAGCAGGGCTTTCCCCAACCAGGTATCTCCCACCAGCGGGGCACCGCCCCAGTCGGGACAAGCTCTAAGCTACCGACCGGTGTCCTGGCATGTGTAGAGCATGTGAGTGTATGTGTGTGTAAGGGGTGAGGACAGCGCAAGGAAGGGGAAGAAAAGATCGCGAGCTGTCCGTAGCTCGTTTGTTAGGATACTGCTCCGGCATTCGCCTGGTGTTGATTGGAGCATGAAAACCACCGTTAAGAGCAGTCGGCCACTAGAATTCTTCTCCATGCGATAGCGAATGAATTCGACCTAGCTGACAAGCTGTCACCGTCGGGACTCGAACCTAGGACCTCCCGGTCAGAAGCACTGCAGTTACATCACACTTTCTTCTGACCAACATGACATTCAAATTACAACGTAAACTTCAAGTAGCCCAGAACGCATGCGTACATTTTTTTTTGGATCTAAAAGAAAAAGTAGGCATGAAATCCGATTTTTTTTTGACAGAATTCGTATGCTTAACTCTAACAAAAAGACTCCACTCTTTCTTCTTCTTATAAAAGTTTTAACGCGTTCTCATGCCAACAACGCCTCATAAGCTAACTTCAATCCTCTTGAAAACTAAATCGAGCTGCATGAATCAGCCTGCTTTGTGTACCAGTTCACAACAACGAACTTCATTCAGTAAATCATTCACCATTACAGCTGTAGTCGCAAGGCCGTGGAAATAAATTACCACGAGACGTAAAACATTTAAATGACTTTCGGGCAAATTCAAAGCTGAATTACCACATGGGTAAGGAATAACGCATACTAGAACGGCGTAACGTCTTCTTCAAATCTCCAGACTTCTCCACTTCCAAGCCCCGGTCACCGCCCCCGTTAAACACCGCTCTATTTCCCTCTTCATTCTCAATATTCTACCCATACTCATTGCTCTATCTCATCTTCCATTCCCTCTCACGACCTAAAATTATGAAATTATTGTTTCTCTGTGCTATCTAATTAAATTGTTAATTAAAATTTATACCAAAAATATTAGTTGACGTTCAAATAAAATATATTGTAAGCTATCTTTGCTACCATCGAGGATCAGGATATTCACTACAATATGATTTGGCATAAACAAAATAGATTTAAGATACCGCACTCCTTTATATTGTTATTATTACTGCCAGTATGAAGTTTAAAATTACCTGTTGTTATTTAACTTACAGTGTATTGTGGGCTCTCTTGGTGTAAAAGAATTATTGTATATTTATGAAGTGCTAGCTGTAACTAAACGTACGTAGCTTTCTGTAACGCTCCTCAAATAACTTCTTCGCCTACTTCTTCTTTCGTCTTTTTCTTCTTTTTTTTCATCTTCCTCTCCGTCACAAATTTATTATTTTCTTACTTTTGACCCCTGTCCCCTGTAACGGTCTTTTCTTTTCTCTTTTAGCGAAACTTCCCTTTCAACTACTCAGTATAACATAACTCAGCTCCTATTAATGTTCGGCGCCCTAAGCTGCCATCCTGATTGGAGGTTTTTCTGGTTTACTCAATTCGCTATACCAGGCGTATTAGCGGATGGTCCCTAGATTTGTTCTCCCAGACGTAAATGTACAGCTTGTCCTCCCCTCTTAAAATGTTTACTATTCTAAATGTAATGTAAATTCGTGGTTAGGCGGAAGAGCAGCGCCTATGGCCTGAGGCCTCGCCATTAATAAAGACCATTATTAATTATTACTATATTATTTATTAATTATTATTATTATTATTATTATTTATTATTGATTATTATTATGTCTTATTAATTATTTATTTATTATTATATTATATTATAGTTATCTATCATTATTATCATTATTATGCATATTATCATTATTATCATTTAATTATGTATTATTATCATTATTATCATTAATTTATTATTATTATTTTATTATTATTATTATTACATCAGTTGTTGTGTCCTTGAGTCACCTGCTTCCGGACATCTAGGTCGGAAACGAAATATTTGCGGAAAATAAAATTCCTACCCAATGTGGAAAGCAGTGGAACAGAGCTTGTAAAAGAGGAGGACCTTTAAAAAAAACTTAGACCGGTGCATGCATATGTTAAGTATTAAGTAAATTCAGTTGGACGTAATTACAGTTGGTATCTAGCAACTTCATGCAATATTTCATCGATACTCCAAATTACCGGAATAAATTCGAATTCATGTCTAGAAATGCTTAATTAAGTTTAATATCACGGACGGTCAAAGTCTCTTGACAAGCCTCGCGGTGGAACACAACATTGAAGCATGTTATTCAATGCTTATTCAATTGTTCATCGCCTCAACCAAAGCAAGTTTGAAAGCACTGTTATTACAAAATGGAAAAAAAATATGCAACAGTACTGGTTGGCTCTTCTACGCACCTGAAAGAGACATATGAAACTATCTCGCTACTTTTTGAAAAAATTGCTATGCTATCACGAGGGTAAATAGTGTATTTATGGTGATTTAAAAATTATCACAATTCTCATGGGAACATCTGACAGGGCACATAAAGGAATACTATTTTATCTGCTAGTGTGATAGTAGAGATAGAAAGCACCATTACTACATAAAGGAAAAAAAATCGTTGTTTTCTAGCGCATAACTTTCTCTTCTTACAAAAAAATTTAAGACGCGAAAATAAAAATGGACAATCACACATGGCCAAGAATGCATCAAGGAAATAAAAAAGTCGTTCATGGGCCGTTGATTGATCCTTACAACGTAATCATGCCACCACTTCACATGAAGCTGGGACTCATGAAAAATTTTATGAAGACACTAGACAACGACTTGGATGCTTTTCGGTGCCTCTGCACATAGTCTCCAGAGTTGAGTTATGCGAAAGGGAAAGAAGGTGTGTTCACAGGTCCACAAATAAGAAAGATAATTGCTCGCAACCAAGAATTACTAAATGATACTGAAAAAAGGGCATGAATGTATTTAAATCAGTTGTAGCCACTTTTTTTGGGAATTAAAAAAACTGCTACATAAATATTGCGAAGAAGTGCATTAGAGCTTACAAGAAGCTGGGTGTTAATATGTCCCTAAAATTCATCTCCCCGACTCACATCTTAACTTCTTCACCGAAAACCTAGGTTCGGTCAGTGATGACCATTGTTTTCACCAGGAAATATCGAGGATGGAGTAAAGTATCAGGGTAAATGTAGTGCATCAATGTTGGCTGACTACTCCTGAACACTTCAGCGTGACATGCTAAATGCTCAGCACAAACGCAAATTTACTGCCAAGAAATTCAAACCGAGTATACCTTAGATTAAGAATTTTCAGTGTGTATCGATTTTATGTGTGTATTATACCTTGATTGATGTCTGTATCTATATCTTTATCACTATTTTCTTAGCTAATGACACATTCATTAGTACTCGATTTAACAATTTGTTTGTATGAATGTATAAATGATAGAACTCTATAACTAAAAAACGGTAGGAGATAGAGACAAATGGTTTGCATATTTTTAATCAGCGCGTTTCAGTTATCTTAGAACAAGTGATAGATACCAAGATATCCGCCAATTTTTAACATTTGTTTTTCAGTGCTGCTTTTGTAAAAGTATTTAATTTATTGGAGAGTTATACGAGTGTATATTATTTGTTATTGAAAGAAATGATTGTAAAGGTGTGGTTAGAAAAATTATAGGTTCCTCGCAGTTTTGACAATCAAAGTATATTTATTTTTTTATTTAACCAATTACGTCACAAAAATTAACCGTCACGATTTAATTAACCAAAAACGTCACAAAATAAAGTATTTGTGACGTTTCGGGACGTGACGGTTCCATCGTCAGGCGAACTACAAATGTAATGTTTTATATTTTAGCATATGATATATCTTACAATATGAACTGTGGTGAGCATGCTATCTATTGTTTCGAGAAAAACACCGAAAAGTTTTATAATTATTGGTTTACTTAACGTTGTGGTTTATTTATAACTGTGGTGACAGCATGACAGAACGTCATGAAAAAAAATTGTGAAATAAAAAAAACGGAAATAATTTTATTGTCAAAAATTCGTGGAACTTGTAAGTTTACTTGTTTTTTTTAGCAAAGGGCTACTTTTGGGAAACCATTTTGTGTGGTTTTCTGCTGTAGCGTTTTTGTTGCTGCAGGCCACTAGTCTCAAATCCTCCAACCAGACAACATATTCTTGGATAAAAAATAAAATACTCTTTTCCTGTAAATGTCTAGTTCCAAAACCGTTCAATATAAAAGTATTGATTAAATTCACCGAGAGAGGAAATAAACTAAAAAGGAAGTTATCATTTGGGTGATATTCGAATTTCTAATTGATATCTTTGTAGGTCTTTGTAGACGAGGTCGAAAGTGTGACATACGTAAAATCCAACATTAAAGAAGTGTATATTTTTAAATGTATTTATTATTTTTTATGACGAGGAATGATTGTTTGATTCAGTTCATTTAAAAACAATGAAAAATGCAGCATTTTGAATAAATTCTACACAAGAAATTGATAATATAAAAATCTGTAACATCATAGACCAACTACATTAACATACATTTCAAAGAGTAACTAAATAATGCAAAAAATGTTCAACAACGGAAAACACTCCACAGGATAGTAAGTTAATGGGTAAAACTCTTTTTAATTTTTCCACTTGTCAATGTCGTTGAGCTCTAGAAGACAACCCTAAGTAAATTTTATTCACTCCGTAAACCTTTTTTGTATTTCCCGACCTCTGAGCCTTGTGAATCTAGCAGGTAGTGAGCGATTTAACTCTTCGAAAGAAATTAAACTCTAAGAAGAAGGTTTTAGTTCTATTGGGCTGCCTACTCATAAACGTATCATTCAAAATAATAAATATTACGCAAGTACAGAGCTTAATCACTGATAATACTAACCGCAATAAATAAACCGAAGCTAGCAAACACAGCCGTTCGTTTAAGATCTACACCATCTTTCTTTTCTACCAATTTCTGTGCAATTAAGTCTCCTGCTGTCATGACACATGCTGCTTGCAGAGATTCAAAAACGGTGGGATGTTTTTGTAGCCAACGTAGAGCCTTTGCCATTTTATTTGCATCAAAAATACTCCTGCATCTGAAACAATTTGCCTTCTATTTAGGAAAAATAAAATGAATAAGTCTTTTTTAATAAAACAAGTGTTATATTATAGGGAGTGATTGATTTTTGAAAGAGCACTTCAAAGTATGCCATTAGTAGTTGAGAAGAAAAGAATTGCAATCGAAATGTGAATGTGCGTAGCATAAACTAATTCCTTTGAATGGCATTTGATAAAATAAATGCATGAAATAGAACTTTGTCACTGTACAAAGTTCAGAATAATGTTACCATACAGTACTAACTACAAAAAAATAGATTTTAGTATCCAAAGTCTCTTTCTGTACCTCACAGAAGCCTTGTCCAATTTAATGTCCTGCAATTGCCGGAACCTCAAAGGTGTTATTTTTTCCAGTCATCTTGACGATTTAATTAATCATGCCACATATTCATTTTTATGACTGTTCCTGAAACAATAAACACATTGCATTTAATCATGGTGATGGAAATTCAAAAATAATTATTTAATTACAATAAATCCATGTGTCTAACATGCCATTTACTAAACACGAAAAGCGTGTCTGACATTGCATGTAGTTTTAAAATAATATTACTAAATTTGATTTTTTTAATTAGATTAAAAGATTGCAAAAACACGGGTAAATTCCCATCAGCAGCTCTAGACGTGTCAAATTGTCACCAAATGATGTACCGAAAGGAGGGCCAACGATAAAATAGAATGCTATATTCGAAAAAACACGGGTGTATTTAATAAACAATATTTTTTGAGTAACTGACTGTTTAGGACACTCGTAGGTATATTATTCCACATAATATTTAATTAGGGGTGCTTCAACAACACGTATTTTCTTGCATTATTTCTAAATTTCCATTTTTCGAAAATTTAGATAGTGATACCCGCACCATTATTTTTATACGTCCCTTCGTCTATCATTGGGGAAGATTGAAGAAAAAATTTGGAGAGTTTTTTGAGAAAAGTTTCTTTTTATTAATTGCAATAGTTTCAAGTCAAAATTACTCAAAAAAGTCGTTTTTTTTCAATAAACTGTGTCTGACCTTTTTTAAACAGATATTTCTGTGAAAAAGACTTTGTCTAAGGCAAAAATCTCTAACTTCAATTTTGTAGTTTTGAAACGTTTACCTTTTTCAATTTTCGAAAATACGAAGAGTGTACCGGAAATGGGACTAGCGCCATATTTTTACCGTGTCTTGCTACGTACGAGGAGAAAATTAAAAAAAACAACTGGGGGCAGTTTTTATGAACAAAATTTTTTTAAAAAATTAAAAATTGCCTTTATTTTGCGCCAAGTTGTTCGAAAACTACTCTTAGTTTCAAAAATTGAACATGACATACTTATTTTTTTGAACATTCACATATCTTTTTCGTTGAACACTGAATTGTCAGAAAATCAAATTTAAAAATAATGCGTAGAAATATGTGCTGTTGTAGCCCCACTAGTCTTATGCTCTACTCTCTTCATTTCGAGATCATGTGATCAAACTTATCTGGACACGTCCGAAGTGGTGTTATGGTGTGGTCGTGTTTCTCATGAAGGGGGGCTTGTACCCCTTGTTTTGTGTGGCACTATCACGACACAGGCATACGTTGATGTTTTAAACACCTTTGTCTTCCCACTGTTCGGGGATGGCGATTGCATCTTTCAATAGGATCGAGCACCTGTTCATACTGCACGGCCTGTGGCGCAGTGGTTACACGACAATAACATCCCTGTAATAGACTGACCTGCACAGATCCCTTACTTAAATCATATCGAACACCTTTGGGATGTTTTGGAACGCCGAATTCGTGCCAAGCCTCACCGCCCTATAACGATACCTCTCCTCAGTGCAGCACTCCGTGAGGAATGGGCTGTCATTCCCCAAGAAACCTTCCAGCACCCGAGTGAAAGCTGTCATCAAGGCTAAAGAGAGGGTCAACACCCTATTGAATTCCAGCACTACCTATGGAGGGCGCCACGAACTGGGAAGTCATTTTCAGCCACGTGTCCGGATACTTTTGATCGCATTGTGTAGCTACTAGTTAATATGGCACAATCATTTACGATTGAAACTAATAAAAATATTTATAAGTAACATTGTTGAAAAATAACATTATGGATATGACATGGGTTTTAACTGAGCCTTGTTAACTTTGTAAATTTTGCCTCCCCCCGCATTATCACTTCTGTAATCTAATAAAAATCACTGAATAAATATCTACTTTAATTTCTTCTTATATAAATATCTATCTTGAAACTAACATACTGCCTTTAATATGAAAAAAAAACATATCACCTTTATAGTATTGAATGAAAACCGGAAAATAACATTACTTTAACTTCAATAAACTTTAAACTAAATGTATACCAAGCAAGTATCATCAAAGTGAATAAAATGAATATTAATGTGAAAGATCATGAAGAGTATGAGGCTGAAACTAGAATCTATGACACAACGAAAGTAACTAATGCGAAAACCGATTTGCAATTCAGTAGTGTATATGTCACTTACTTTTACAGTGGAGATTGAAAAGGAGGCTTTCCCAATCATATTGGTATTTTTTAATGCCAGATTTCTCGAATCTATCATAAAAAATAAACAATTCATTTAAACATAGTATAAAATGTAAAATAAATACAACTCTTTGAACTATTGTTATCAATTACCTAATATTCTACTAACGTAACACGTAATTATCAGCACATTAAAAGCAGTGATCAGTGAGGAGAATTATGTAGGTGACAAATTACATTTTATACTGTACACAAAGGAAATAACAAAACAGATACTTATATGAAATAAAACACTATTTATAACAGTTATCTCTGCTGCTCTGTAAAGAAAATTCAATGCATACAAGTTGAAGTGAAATTTCTAACCTTAAGTCCAATTTTCTTTTTGAAATAGTCACATATACCTACATATATTTTTCAAAAATGAGTAACGTATATCTTCAAAACAATGTTTTGATGCAATAAGATTGTTGTATCCTCAAGTTCACCTCTATCATCTTGCTGTTAAGCTATTTGATTGTCTTGTTCGGGAAATTAAAGCGCTCTACATATTTGTGTGGAATCAGTGTTGTTGTTTACGATTACTGTAAAAATAAACAAATGATGACGCCCATATTGCGCCTTACATGGATTACATGAACCCCCTTTGAGATTTATTAGTAAACACTTTTATGTAACTTTTATAGCGTTAATAGTTCAAGTATTAAGGCTTCCAACAATTATATTTCAAAGTTATATTCACGAAAGTGAGAATGAAATTAAGGTTACTGGCAACTCAAAATCATGATCTTATTGAAGGTGCTTTGTATCATATTCGCCTTTGATTCAGTATGTCAATCTTTTCTGCGTCTGGCAATCTTATCATCCTTTATGTTCTACAATGGCTATTAAAGGAGACAGTGTTTTTTTCACAATTTATATTCTTCCATACATATGGTTCAACTTCAGTCTCTGTGAATTTTAAAAGAAACTTAACACGCGTATATAAATAATGCCAAACTACATGATTTTGTGAATGTTACACAATAAACGTCAAACTCAAGTGTGAAAAACGCTTTATTTTAAACGCATTTTCAAAAGTAGTGTTTCAATGAGTGTCGCCTGTCACATTGTGTTCTACATTAACTCGAGTCAAGGTCAGTTTCTAAGCATGGGTTTCGCGATCTCCAGGAGAACCGCGAAAACTTTCTGGAGACTGTGGGGGTTCCGTCTCCGTTCCCGAAAAATATTCGCGTGAAGTCAAATCACGTTCACTAATAATAGCAGTAACTTATAACAGCAAACCATGAGACCGTAAAAACAATTGTTTTAATGATAATATCACAATATTCTCGATGCCTTTGATTATATTTTTTTCTTCTTTTGTTTCTCGTGACCTAATTAAAAATTATATCTTATACTTTTGATTTCTCTGAGAATCAGATTGCGGTTTCAACAATCGCTGCATGTAATTACAAGACATGAAGGCTTGCTAAGATTTTCGCGGTATCTTATGAAAGAAGATCCAACCTCTCTGAAGCCATTCGGCGTTGTATTTTCTCCCGAAACAAATATTGCGCCACTGTCGCAAATAATTTCGCGCCCTTGACTGGGTTTTGCTCTGAACAATGCTGCCAACGATCTACACAATTTGACCCCAAAGATGGCTGCAAAATGCATCGCCGATGAGAAATGTTCTAAAGAATTATACGATATTCATCTACACTGAATGGTAACATAAATTATTAATAATTAACTTAAATTTTGATAACAATGTCAAATGTCACTTACCTGGTTTTTGTTCTGAGCGCCTCATCTTAGGTTTTTTATCTCAGGAAAACAACAATTGCCACATTGGATAAATTTAAGATCAGAGAGCGTTCAAAACACCTCGTATCAATTGCACAGTTTCAATGTCTCTCAGAGGGTTCTTTCCTTGTCTTGCACTCACATTGCTTTCTGTAAGAGACCACACTTCGGTCGCAAGTAATTGATTGCGAGGGTGACCCACAACCACCTGACTTACCTCCTCGTTTTCTAAAGTTAACCGGATGCTCTGAAATATAGACGGTGCTTCGACGAGTCCAATTCATATCGTGCATGACTCGTAGAAAGACGTGGGTTAAATGTAACATGTATTTGCTTTTTCTAAGAGATGGGGTAATTAGATGATGTATTGGTGATGGAAAGTTATAAACTATCGCAAACGCAACTAAAAATGCTCATTCATCTAGTCTGCTCTTTGTTGTGCTTCGCGTTAACGTGATGCAAATTTGGCACGCGAGTTCATACCAGCTTGATACCGATGCGATATTCCTATCTGCTCCTTTATTTGTTCTATGTATCTGTCCTCTACTGATTGGGGGGCGGGGGGGCAAGGTGCCTTACTGCGGACGAACAGACACTGGATACTCAAATACGAATTAAAAACAAATACCCATTTGATGCCTTCCTAAACACATTTGCTAACAATTATAAACACTAGGTTCAAAATGTAGCTACCTACCACTTGTAATAGTTTTAAGACAGGAAATAAGAACGGTTTCAAGCCAACTAATGCATATAAAAAGAGTAACTGAACTATGCATTACCGAAAGATAAATGAATATGAATAATAATTTTTTCTAACGAAATTTTGGCCTTTTCTGTCGCATGATTACATAACTTTCTCGTCTTACAAAGAATTCGTAAGACGAGTTCCCGCGGTGTAGGCAGTGCGAGAGTTTTGCCACGCAAGTCCTGAGACTTAGCGTCTGGAGACGGTGCGGCGAACAGGCCTGCGTTCTCAATGCCAGTGAACAGGCCTGCGTTCTCAAAATCAGAAGACTATTGCCATCGTGTACAGCGATCTCTCAGGGTTCGGAATCGATGCGAGAATCTGGTGGCCTCTGATAAGCTGAGACACGCTTGTAAGGCAGACAGGCTAGTAATCAGGAAAATCCTTCGGAAAAATTGAGATGTGTCGGTTGCAGGCAAATGGCGGCGATGGCGGTGTGAGTAGCAGCACCGAGGCAGTGGCTCGAACCTCTTAGACTATCCTCACCACGTCGAGACCTTTACTTGGAGGCGCACCGCCTCTTCCTCGCATATTTTGCTACCAATAAACCCATTGATTGATTAAAGTTTCTAGGTGGGTCAACGGCTGAGGTCGTTTTCCCGTAAGTGTAGTGAATGCTTATCGCGGGCGATGGCGGTAATCTTCCTCCGCTGGCTGGCGAGATCCGGCGCTAAACTGCACGTCGGCGTAGCTCTACCGCTTGCAAAAAAGTCATCATTGCTGACATGTGAAGTCTCAGAGGCTTCCCCCTGCGGCAGCTGAGATTTCTGAGAAGCGCGGAGGAGACAAAAAGAGGCGACTGCGAGACGCAACGATCTCACTTACCCTCACGTACCGTCGTCGCTGCCCACTTTGTCGGAAGAGGAACTCGCGCTCCAAGGAGTGTCCAAAGAAATGAATTCATCAATGTGTTATCAAGTACATTATCTTATGACTGAAACCGTTCTTCAAGACACGGCTTGTTTTCTGTTGATCGTTTGGGCAACCCCTACTGCAGAAACACTCAAGCTTCCTTTTTTTCTGACCCCTTCTCACTCATCATTTTGTCATCGCAAAACTCGCAGTGTTGCATTACCCCGCTATCCACGAGAGAAAGAGAAAAGAGGGAGAGAGAGAGGAAGAGAGAAAGAGGGGGAGAGAGGGGGAGAGGGGAGAGAAAGAGAGGGAGAGAGAGGAGAGAGGGAAGATAGGGGGAGGGAGGGTGGAGAGGGGAAGAGTGGGAGAGGGGAAGAGAGGGAGAGGGGAAGAGAGGGAGAGGGGAAGAGGGGGAGAGGGGAGAGAGAGCTACGTTGTGACAAAGAGCGCAGGCAAGCAGAGAAATGTTTGTATCGTTGAAGGGGAAGGTCACTTTCGGGTATGCGCAGTGAAATGTTTTTTTACTCTGGTAGAGCTATAGTGGGGATATTCCCAACCATGTATCTCACACCAGCGGGGCACCGCCCCCAGCTGGAACAAGCTTAATGTCCCGATCGGTCTCCCGACATGTCTGGAGTGTAGTGCGTGTAAGTGTGTTTGTAATTAAGGGGTGAGGATTGGACAAGGACAAGGAACGAAATGACGCGCGCGGTCTGTGGCCCGTTTCGTAGGATTCTGCTCCGGCATTCGCCTTGTGTTGATAGGAGAAACCACAGAAAACTACCGATCATATCAGCCTGCTGCTTGAATACTCCTCCAGAGAGCGACTGAACTCGACTTAGCTAACTAGCAAGTGCCGAAAATCCTGCTACCGCACCGTCCGAACTCGTGCCATTAAACTAAGCAGCTGGCGAAATCCAACTCACGTGGTCATTATTTTAAATATATTAATACAAGTATGACAAATGTTTATTACCAGTCTTCTCCCGTCCTCTAATGAGTGAGGAACAAACATTGTTCCACAAATTTATTACAAAAACCTCAGTGACTTCCATCTTGGATAAACGGAAAATAAATTTTATGTCTATATTACTTCATTGTTTAAAACAAAAATAATTCACAAGAGGAGATTGAATCATTCTAGGGCGTTTTTATCGTATATCATCCAACGAACAAGAAAATACTTTACACATTTTTGAAGGGACAATGCTGATGAATGACGTATTTTATCACTGAAAAACTATTCGGAATTTTTATTCATTCTAAGGAAAAAATACAGTGTGCTGAGAAGTCAACTGATTGTTGAGAAACAAAAACTTTCATGAGACTGATATATTTCCAAGTCTTAAGCTGTATGCAATTTAGTAAATTCAACCGAATTATTATTAATAATGTCTGAGAAATCTGTACATTCTTCGTAAACTGAAATATTTATTTTTAATGCTTATAACATTCTGGAACATGAAACTGACGGAAAACATGGAACAGGAAACTGATAATTTAGAAAATTGGACGAAAGACTTTTGTTTGAAACAGAATTTTAAGCTTTAAGTAAAAATTTGAAAATATCGTTACCATTTTTGTTGTCTACTCGTTTTTGCAAGAAATTGTTCAATAATGGTGCAGAGCAAAACTTTTTTTGGAAAAATGCAGAGGCAAGAACAAATTGTTACAAAGAAGGCATTTTTTAACTGTAACATTATAAAAAATGTTCTTCCGTTAAAAGACCGAGAAGCCTGGTTAAATAGCCACCGCTATTAAGCGGTCGCCTCAGATAAAAAACCGTTTTCTCCTGGGAGCAATAGATCTTCACAGAAGCATGTAACTATTCCCTCTTCTCAGCATTCACCTGGCTATACTGCCAAAGACCAACCACATTTCCTTCATTGACCTTTATTATCATTATAATACAATAAATTATAAAACACCTTTTCAACATTTTAAAATAATATTAATAATTTATATATTAATTATTCTTAAGTTCCTTGTTTTCTTTGGTCATAATTTAAACCATGTCTATTTTTTGCTGTTGAAAAATAAGCATTCCATGCTACTCCCACGAGTTGAGTCACGAGTACTTGATATTGCACAGGTGTGAAAGTAAAATTTAGAGCCTGGACAGCGGGCCATACCTGAAAAGGTTAGACTATTATTACAACTGCAGTATTGAAAATAAAATGATTTGGTATATTCTCGTTATTCATTAAAATTATAAACAAATTTCAATTCCTTTTATTTCAGCATACACTTTCGTTTTAATTCTCATGATAGAATGAATAAATGTGGGAATGTCCATTGGTAGGAATAAGAAAATCTCTGTCTCTTTTTCTTAAGGTTCACTCCCTTATAACTGTTGCCTCCTGTCAAAGTTGAATTACACTTTGAAGAGTCAACGAGTCTTGTTTTCATGACCACACTCTCAAATTTCCCAAATAATGAAGTCGACTGAAAATTTCGAATCATTCACTTCAGTTCCTCTGAACGAGCCGCAATTGATTTCGAGTAATTCAGATAATATAATTTTATTGCTTTTCATGATACGTTTCTACATTGACATCACTGATGTATAAGGTCTGGATTACGAACTAGGAATGAAACAAAACCATCGTTACAACTAAACAATTTCCTCATAGAAATAAAATGAAGGCGTGAGGTCTTTTATGCAAGAAGCTATGTATGGACGACTTAATCCGAAGTTTCAGTATAACTCTATGTAATTATAAAACAATTTTATGAAATATGTCACTTCCTGTTATATGTATATATATGTCCACCCTAAAGTTATATCTGCAACTTTTGCCTGCCATCATCATGGATCCTGGAACGCTTCTGTCTCCTGATATAGTACAAAACATTCTTCTAAACACCTTGAAATTTTAATGTCGCGTTTCTCCCATCTGAACTTAAGTTCCGTTAATTATCTAATTAAACTTAAGGTAATATTAGCATTATATGTTATTATAAAAAAACATCCAACCTGATGTGGGACATCTATTTTACTAGTTTCCAATGCGCGCAGAGATTGAATGAAAATTATAGAGCCTCCAGTCAAATGGGAGGTGTCTGTGGTTTCGTTAGAGACACCTAGAGAATAAATACAGAAACAATTAAACAGATTCGATTTTGATTGAAAATGCGATGTAAAATGTTTGCAAAATATTTGATTGTGGTATTCGGCCTATTACCATACAGCGCATACCGACAAGATTATTTAACCTACTGCGTCACTACAGTTCTGTGGTAACATAGTCGACATAATACGACAGTAAGCGACCAAGAAAGAGGCTGCTCGCCATTAAATGTTTGCTATTCACGTGTTGCGTTATGAGATTGCATTTTTTCATTTTTTGGTTCTTTAACTGTGGAACTGTATATCCGAATATACTGTACTATGTTATTGCTGTCTTCGTAAATATGGTTTTGTTAAAATATTTAATTTACTGTTCGGTTATAACAGTATTTAATTTTGTTGTTCATGAGCAGTGTGCCGTGCTACTATTGGGGAAACCATTTTAATGGTTATGTTCAGCAGCATTTTGATGCTGTAGGTCTCTTATTTTATTAAAACGTTGCTAATGACATTCCCATATTAGCAACTTACGCTGTAGCCTACTTTTCGGCTAGGATAATGTTTTAACAGGGAAGTTTTTGTTATACATTTTTGAATATTATATTTTATGCTTAACAAAATTTAGAATACAGTTGATAAAATGTGTACGGTGTTTCCCGGTGCTTTGAATAAAATTTGTCTATTTGAAACATTATCTCCTTACTACAGCTTTTATACTAATGCCTCTACTCCTAAAATCACCAATTCGCAATATTTAAAACCTATTTAATCCTGGATTCGCCCATAAGTTCTCTATCACTTGCTAATTCGAGAACATCTAAGATAAAAATTTTCTTCTCAGAAATAATCGAGATACCAAAATTATTTTGAAATTCAGTAATGAACAGCCTTAACACACTATGTGACCAAACATTTCTCGAACGTTGAGCTGCGAAACGCGCAATGAGCTACGCGCATTTAAATTAACCTACAATGCACCAACATCAGAGGCCTTCATTCCTACAGAATGAGTCAACAGAAGGGAGTCCTTGCACATCATGATTGTACGGGCCTACTGTACAGTATTCAGTCGGTATTCCACCAGGAATATCTGACGAGAGATACACGTGATCAGATTCACATAAGCGACGGCATAGCGAAATTCAAACGTCAGCATGAATTGCTTCAGCAAATTATCACCCTCCTAGGCCGGTGACTTTAAATAATACGACTCCCCAAACTCTGGAGCACATGTGCAAACCAATCGTGCAAAAATACTTTCCATCTATTGCACAAGACTTTCTTGAAATGACAGTGCAGATATTGAAAACAGAGCGACGAAGGGTTAATAGGACTTAAATGTCAAATTCCTGTGGTTTTCAAACTGCTTCTGACTGCAAGGACACTTAGGGTGTTGCAAAAATAAATCTGGTTCAGTAAAAGGTGTCGTGAATTATTTTAATAGGTTAGAATGCTTCAATCTGAGTTATGGACATTACATCTTATTAGTGTCATATAAATACATATTTATTTATTTAAGCTCTTGAAACTAAATTTCTATTAAATAAATATGTATTTTGTATGAGACTAATTAGATGTGTTGTCTATAACTAAGATTGAAGCATGAACATACGAGTAATGAACGTGTGGAATTTACTAAGACTAATCCACCAATGAAGTTATCTCAGATATGTGTAGAATGTGCCAAATAGTAATTATATTGTGTTCGCGCACCAACATCACACGACAGAGCTTCCCACTATCGCACCTTGGGATCAGTCAGCAAGGACAATGTGGTAAGGAAAAGAGGTACTTTTGGGGGAGATGCCGGCTATATTGGGGCATACCAGGTGTATAGTTCAACGCAATTGGAGTTAATTTCATGAGTGAAATAGTTCAAATAAATAATCACATGTTAATTGCAAATTACCTACACATTTCCAGTGCATTTGTGGCATTACCTCTGATAATCATTAAGAATCAATCAATGAAGAAGGACCACTGCATTATCTACGAAGAAAAGCAAGTAGATTTGCTGCACTTATATCCTCAAAGTGCTGACCAGAACTGCGACGCACATCTTGGGATCAATTGGGCGTCGAGAGTGCAAGGACAATTCGCTAAACAAGCCAGGAGCTATTGTTCATCGTGCTTCAGGAAGAATTCAAAATATCTTCTTTTGAGATACGTAAATGAATTAATTGTAGCAAAGAAGTAACTTAAATGCTATTAATTACTTGCCTAGCGCCTTTGGAATACATAGCAATAGGTGTCCGATGTGTTTTGGTCACATAGTGTATTTATAGAAGTCCGTCTGTCGCACATTTTTGGCGGCAAAATATAAATTTTTTATCTGTCCTCGCTTCTCTTCTCTAGTCTGGATTCTAAGCATTCTCTTTTGTAACGTATGAATCTCGTAATATCGTATTCAAAAGAACTCTCGAAGAATTTCACGAATTCAGACTGGTGTCGTGTTAAACATAATCGGAATTGTTGATTAAAAACAAATTATTCGATGTCTTTAAATTTGTGGTCAATATCAATAACTCATGTATATTTACTAGTAGTTTTTGATAATATGTACCTTGTATCCGTTACCCATTATAGTTGGATATTTGTTCTGCAGTTCTTCTTTAACTCCACTCAGTGTTCCACTTCCAAGTCTCAATTCAAGAAGGGACATAACAGTGGCCACCATTGTCGGAGCCATAGTAGCCTGGTCCACCACCATTTTCACGAGGCCGCGCTGTACCGGGGGCCAATGAAAAGGCACTTTCGAATTCAGGAAACGAAACCATGTTGACTGTATTGGTCCCTACGAACAAGCAGAACATATTATTTAAAGTTCATTTTTTACGAAGCTGTAAGGATAAAAATATTTTTATAACCTTTGAAGTGTTTTGGGTTAAAATTAGGAAGTATGTGTTACTTATCTCTTTGTTTATAATTAGTATGGAAATCCCAATATTGAATTATATTCGGATTGAATGTATGTTAAATTATTTATGAAATATTGTTGAAAAATAAAGCACATGTAACAAATTTCTCAACATTTAAATATCCATTATTATTTATTAATCTGAAGCATTTAAAAACTGTTCTTTTTTAGAAAACATCAATTTAAACTGAACATTTTAAAAACTTAACTTATGGAGTGAAGTTTAAGGCAAATGTTTTCAGTATTAAATAAAATTATAATTATGTACTCCTATTATAACCTCAATACTAACCACAAAAAAAGTACCCAATCCAGCAAATGTGGCAAGACGTCTTGTATCCAAAACGTCTTTCTTTTCTACAAATTTCTGCGCAATAAAATCTCCTGTTCCCATGACAGCTCCAGCTTGTAGACAATTATAGATGATATAGTTTTGTTTTAACCATTTCAGAAGTTCCATTTTCTCTGAATCAAATGTACTCCTGAAACTTTATCATTCCAACGCTAAAATAAAAATTAAGAAAGATTAAAGAAAATACTCACCACGAAGCATATATTTTTCATGTTGGATCTCCATGCATCTTACAATCTCTTCTGTTTATCAGCATCGTGTTTTCATGAAGTTTATTCATAATTATGCATTTTTTTATATTATTCCTTAAGGACCGCCTGGAAGATTAATTTCAAGTTTGTAACCGAGTCATTGAGCATTTGATATTATTTTCTCATATAATACCTTCATTGGAAACTGAAGAAACACGAAAGTAGTGAACCTTCTGGAGCCTGTTGTTACAAAAAAAAATTAAATGGAACAATCATCCCTGAATATAAAGCATTATGCTCATTTATGTTTGTTCTCGTTTGTTCTAATTTTATATTACTTTAAACGAACACATTCGCTCAGCAAATTCATCAGTCCCAGACTGCACATAATACTGTTGGAAGAGTTTAGACAGAAGTGATCCATATTGTCTTTAGAGCAAGTGGATTTGTAACTATGCATATCTATAACTCTTTGGGCTCAATGAGAACTGGTAACTTTGTACAAGTTTCTGTCACTCGTATGCTTACCAAAATACTAAAATATTCACTTTATTGATAATTTTCTCGATGATTGGCGTAAGAAGCAATTGTCATGTAATCAGAATCTCTTATGATAGTCTCAAAAGTTTTCAATAACGCTTTGTGGTAACTTATGTTTTGATACTACCACGGAAATGTTCGATTTCCAAAGAAGAAGAATTGTTATGCGCGCACGTTTATTTGAGCCTTCACTGCGAGAGGAGTAGCGAGTTTGGTTATTTTTAGGAATTTTGTATCAAATCTGTAGTTCATTTATTGATGCAAAATAGTTTCTATTACGCAAGAATGAACATTTCTGGTAATAAGATTTTCTCTCCAATGCTCCTTGCTATAATTTATTCTTAATTCAACTAATGTTGGCAAAGGAGTGAGGGCAGGTATTCCGAAACTCAAGAAAACGCGCGTGTATATTATTCTTGCTTCTTCCTCAAATTTATTTATTCACGTCGAACACTTTTTTAAATTATAATTTTACAAAGCGTAAGTGCAGGAATAGAGTTTTAGTGTTACGTTTCTCAAACCTTTCAAATGAAGAAAGGACAAAATTCATTGACATACGGTGGAGATAAGAGTTTTTAAATTAGTGTATGGAGAGCAATTATTGAGCTGTTCGTTTGTAATGACAAAAAATTTAGTCCAAGTAATGAATAGTTATTTGAATAAAATCGTTTAACATACTCCTTTGAATTTTCAGAAGATCGAACATTTACGATACGAGTGGTAAAAGCGACATTTTATTTTGCGACTAGTAAAGGTTGCGTCATGATTCCGGTAAATCGAGTGGCGCAATCCTACGAGAAAATAAAATCACTTCTATCACGTCTGTAATACACTATATTTTATTTATTATTTATACTATATTATACTACTATTTAATATACTAGATTTAAGCGTTACTGACTTCCAATTTATTTTATCCAAGTATATCATAGTAACTGATGCAGTCAGATGACATTTTATTTTCTTTATTGCATTGAGTTTTATTTGAACATTTGAGCATCGTCTCACATTTAGAACTGGCGTTAAAAATTAACCTTTCGGCACGCTATGAATGCCCTGAAAGAACCACTTTTACTTGTGGCTGTTTAAAAACATTACAGAGCAAAAGAAGAAACTTTCTTAATTATCGTACTATAGTAAATGTTTTCTAAATTGAAAGTACTAACCTCAGTGTGTCTAATTTAGGCAATTTGAAATAAATCATACTCAAAATTATTATAATGAACAAATATCAAGTTCTACAAAACTATGACCAGGAAAGTTATGTGGCAGAAAATTTGAAACGGTTTCATCGAATGAACCTGACGAAATGAAATTTAAAGCAGCAGAAATATTTTTTTATCCGTCACAGGCTGGAGAGACGATTCTCACTTTCACTTAACAGTGAAAATCGTACCTATTCCATCTTGATATGTGTATTTTCCTCTATTACCAGAAATTTAAAGAAAAAACTCGAAAATTTTGAAAATATCTGAGAGGCTTAATGTACAATGCACATAAATTCCATAATTTAAAGAATTGTTTTCAAACTCACAGAGTTTCGGGACGGGCCAGTTCGACCTGGGAGTATTCATTTAGGAAACTATCCTACGAATAGTATCGGCGCTAGTGTTGTAACAGACGGACCGACGGACGGACGGTTCGACGTTAATCAATTTTTACGCATCAATAATCCACAAATCGTGAATATTAACTTCGCAATGTGTTAGATGAAGTAATTTACTACGTATTGGAACAATATTTATCAACATTTTCTGTAGAAGTGCTCCATAAAAGGGCTTTTCTGGCGAAAAATCACCGTTATTTACTGCAGCATTATATAACTTCGTACGTAGTACGTATACGAGAAGTAAAAATATGGTAGCTTACTTTTCATAAAAGTCAGAAAATGTCAGTCATCATCATTATGATCACATTATTCAAAGCTGAAAGACTATGTGTACGATGTAGATATGTCAATGTGAGAATTAACATATGTCCCGTATTTGATCGGACCTGTTGAGGAACCCCAGCTTGATCACGTGCTCGAGGATCCCCCACTTGTTCCACTTGTCGAGTATCCCCGCACTTTCCACTTGCTCGTATCCCCATTGTTCGACTTGCGGTAGACGATCCCCATCTTGTTCGACTTGCTCGACGATCCCCCCACTTTGTTCGGAACTTGTTCGACGCTCACTCGTCTCACCACTTTGTTCGTACTGCTCGACGATCCCACTTGTTCGACTTGCTTTCGGCGATCCCCACTTGTTCGACTGCCTCGACGATCCCCCACTTGTTCGACTTGCTCGACGATCCCCCCACTTGTTCGGACTTGCTCGCTGATCCCCCACTTGTTTCGAACTTGCTCCGACGATCGCCCCAACTTGTTCGACTTGCTCGACGATCCCCACTTGTTCGACTTGCTCGAGCGATCCCACTTGTTCGACTTGCTCGACGATCCCCACTTGTTCGATCTTGCTGCGACGATCCCCCCAACTTGTTCGGACTTGCTCGACGATCCCCCACTTGTTCGACTTGCTCGACGATCCCCCACTGTTCGACTTGCTGCGACGATCCCCACTTGTTCGAACTTGCTTCGACGATCCCCCATTTTCGACTTCTCAAGAATCCCCTCTTGTTCGACTTGCTCACAGGATCCCCCTTGTTCGACTTGCTCAAGGATCCGCCCTCTTGTTCGACTTGCTCAAGGATCCCTCTTGTTGACTTGCTCAAGGATCCCCCTCTTTTCGACTTGCTCAAGGATCCCCCTCTTGTTCGAACTTGCTCAAGGATCCCCCTCTTGTTCGACTTGCTCAAGGATCCCCCTCTTGTTCGAACTTGCTCAGGATCCCCCTCTTGTTCGACTTGCTCAAGGATCCCCCTCTTTTGTTGCGACTTTGCTCCAAGGATCCCCCTCTTGTTCGACTTGCTCAAGGATCCCCTCTTGGTTCGACTTGCTAAGGATCCCCTCTTGTTCGACTTGCTCCAGAGATCCCCCTCTTGTTCGACTTGCCTCAAGGGATCCCCCTCTTGTTCGATTGCTCAGGATCCCCCTCTTGTTGACTTGCGTCAGGATCCGCCCCTTTGTTCGACTTGCTCAGGATCCCCCTTGTTCGACTTGCTCAAGGATCCCCCTCTTGTTCCGACTTGCTCAAGGATCCCCCCTTGTTCGACTTGCTCAAGATCCCCCACTTGTTCGACTTGCTCAAGGATCCCCTCACTTGTGTCGCTTGCTCAAGGATCCCCCTTGTTCGACTTGCTCAAGGATCCCACGTTGATCGCTGCCCCTTTTCGACTTGTACAAGGATTCCCCCACTTGTTCGACTTGCTAAGGATCCCCACTTGTTCGACTTGCTCAGGATCCCCCACTTGTTCGACTTGCTCAAGGGTCCCCCAGTTTTATGACTTGCTCAAGGATCCCCACTTGTTCGACTTGCTCAAGATCCCCCACTTGTTCAGACTTGCTCAAGGATCCCCAACTTGTTAGACTTGCTCCAAGGGATCCCCCACTTGTTAGACTTGCTCAAGGATCCCCCACTTGTTAGACTTGCTCAAGGATCCCAACTTGTTAGACTTGCTCAAGGATCCCCCACTTGTTTAGAAGACTTTGCTCAAGGATCCCCCCACTTGTTAGACTTGTCAAGGAATCCACTGTGTAGGATTGCTCAGATCCCCCAACTTATGTTACGACTTGCTCTGGCAAGGATCCCCCACTTGTTAGACTTGCTCGTGTCTTGCCAATGGATCCCCACTTGTTAGACTTGTTCAAGGGATCCCCTTTCCACTTGGTTAGAACTTGCTCAAGGATCTCCCACTTGTTAGACTTGCTCAAGGATCCCACTTTGTTTAGACTTGCTCAAGGATTCCCCCACTTGTTCGACTTGCTCAAGGATCCCCCACTTGTTCGACTTGCTCAAGGATCCCCACTTGTTCGACTTTGCTCAGGATCGCCATCTTTCACTTGCAAGGATCCCCACTTTTTCGACTTGCCTCAAGGATCCCCCACTTGTTCGACTTGGCTCAAGGATCCCGCCACTGTTTCGACTTGCTTCAAGGATCCCCCACTGTTCGACTTGCTCAAGGATCCCCACTTGTTCGCTTGCTCAAAGGATCCCGACTTTGTTCGACTTTGCTGCAAGGATTCCCACTTGTTCGACTTGCTCAAGGATCCCACTCTTGTTCGACTTGGCTCAAGGATCCCCCTTTGTTCGACTTGCTCAAGGATCCCCCTCTTGTTCGACTTGCTCAAGGGATCCCCTATTGTTCGACTTGCTCAAGCTCCCCCTTTGTTCGACTTGCTTCAAGGAATCCCCCTCTTTGTTACGATCTTGCCAAGGATCCCACCTCTGTTCGTACTGCTCAAGGTCCCCCTCTTGTTCGACCTGCTCCGGATCCCCCTCTTGTTCGACTGCTTCAAAGGATTCCCCCCTTGTTCGCCTTGCTCAAGGATCCCTCCTTGCTTGTTTCGACGTTGCTCAAAGGAACTCCGCCCTCTTGTTCGACTTGCTCTCAAGGATCCCCCTCTGTTCGATCTTGCTCAAGAGATCCCCCTCGTCTGTTCGACTTGCTTCAAGGATGTCCCCTCTTGTTCGACTTGCTCAAGGAGTCCCCCTCTTGTTCGAACTTGCTCAACGGATCCCCCGTGCTATGCATTGCTCCCGTACTTGCTCAAGGATCCCCCCTCTTGTTCGAAGACTCAATGGATCCCCTCTTGTCGCTTG